GCTGGAGGCAGTGCTGGAAACGCGGCCCGGCCGTGGGGAGAAGTGCCCGGCCCGGGGCTCGCCTGGCGCGTGGGGACGTGGACCCGCACTCGCTGCAGTGGCATCAACGTTTATTGACTGGTATCCGCACAGTGCGCGGCCCTACGCTCCTCCGCCACCCCTCACCTACCTTAAATAAAGCGTCACGTGGAGCTCTGTCCTCTGGAGTTTGTCCCCACACTGCCGTGACTGTGCCCAGCTCCATAGGGAGCTTCCCCAGAGGGGAAGGGGACAGGGCCACGTGCGTCCCCTGCCCTCGTGTCCTGCAGGACTCCTCACCAGGACGGGGACTCTTGCAGAGGGCAGAGGGGAACCAGCCACTTCCCACCCCCGGCTTGGGAGGCTCCAGGGCTTCCTGCCAATCCATGCCCAGTGCCAGAAGCCTTGGGGGAAGTGAAGCCAAGCAGAGGCGGCAGGAGCCCCTCTGCTTCCTCCTAGCAAGACTTTGTTTAATAAAGTCTTTCTTACTATTATTATCCAAGTTTTATGAGAAGTTCCTGGCAAGAGCCCTGGCCTCTGCCAGGAGCCAGCCTGTTCCTTCCCGTGGTGCCAGCACATCTTTGTTAAATAAATGCTTTCTTACTATTATTATCCAAGTTTTATGAGAAGTTCCTGGCAAGACCCCTGGCCTCTGCCAGGAGCCAGCCTGTTCCTTCCCGTGGTGCCAGCACATCCTAGCTACAATTCCCTAGAAGCTCCTGTGCATGGAGGCGCTGGCTCCTCCCGGGGCCATCAACCGACTTTGGAAGGTGCTTTTGCTGGCGCAGCAGCTGCCCGGCGAGGCCAGCCCTGAAATCCCGCCGGCTAGAAGGCGGGGCGGTCCTGCGGAACCCCCGCGTCCTCCAGCTCCTGCAGCCGGGCCTCCGAGCGCCGCTTGTCCTTGCCCACCTTCCAGGCGAGGTGCACGTGGGCCTGCAGGAAGGGCGCCAGCAGCGGGTGGCTGTCCTGCGCCTCCAGCAGCTGCAGCGCCTGCTCGCAGCAGCCGTGCGCCCCGCCGAGCTGCT